GAGAGAGAGCCTAGGGATCCTATGATTTGTTTCAAACATATTCATTTACTATATATTTCACAGATTTTTATTTTTTAAAATATAAATTAATTTATTTTTAAAACACTCAAAATAATTTTAATTATTCTAACATTTATTACTTGTGCAAGTTGTCAGCTGTTGTGCATCTCTACCGTTGGTTTTGCTTATTTTATATTCAATATTTACTAAGAATAAAATTAATAATACAAATTTAAAAGAAAGCCCATATTTTACCTCAAATTAACATATAAATAAAATAATATAAAAAATGAATCTAAAAGGGATTATGTACATCCGTTAGTTAGTTAATGAACTTTTAAAGCTGCTTCTTAGAAATTTGAATTATTGTCATATTAAATTTGTATTTCTGCAGCAAGTAAAGGAGTACTGCAGAGAGATTTTGGTGCTTGCCGACAACATTTGTTTTGGAGTGCAAATAAAATTTACAATTAAAGTCATAATGGTCAACAACGAAAATGGCCAACCAAAATCTCGGAGTTCTAAACTAATTATGCCTAAAAAAAAAGGCAGAAATTACATAATTAGCACCTCAAAACATCATTTTTAACAAAACTAGCATCCTAATTCATCCATTTCGCAAATTTTCACTCAAATATCAAAATTAGCGATAAAATCTCAACCCTCATTCTTCATTTTTATCTAATTCTTAATAAGTTCAAAAAAAAAAATAACAATCTCATAGGTGCTAGATTTATAAATAGTAATGTTTCAAATATTGTGTATGTAATTATCCCGATATTTGTAGCCCTAATTCTATCCTACCATTATATACATTTGACACTGCGGTTAAAGCAGGTTGGTTATTGTTGAGAAATTAGGGCGAAGAAAAACAAGAATCGGCACAAATTCAGAAGAACACACAGAGATTTACGAGGTTCAACAAAAGTGTTTACATCCTCGGGAGCAGAGCGGCGACTTCCTTTTTCAATATTCAGAAAAGAGTACAAAATACAAGATTCAGAATCTCAAACTCAGAGAGTCACTTAGGGTTACAAACATGACATATATATAACATTATAGTACAATATGCAATTACTTAAATTACATATGTACCAAACTGCGGGGTGTTGTCCCCGTACTCCCAACCCACATAATGAAATTCCACTGATTGGACAGATCATTCCCACTCCGCTCGTGGGCTCGGCTCCGCTCCAGCATCTCTCCTATTTATGATATATTCTCTAATGAGCTATTTTTATTATTTAGACTAATAATAAATTAAAGGCTTGAGGGGTATGCATGTAAATATAAAGTTTTATGTGTAAATAGATTCAGAGCGGTGAAAGGAACTTCTCGAAGGAATGGGAGGAGCCATCAGTCCCAACGAAACAACTGTTCCTTCTTCTTTAACGGGCAAAAGTAAAAACGATTCCTTGCATCATTTGCGAGCGGTGAAAATTATGTAGACAAGCAACGTACACCCTTACCGATTAAGAAAGAGAGAGAGAGTGGCGTTCTTATCAATTTTCCTTTTGGGAGACTCCAAGTTCCGATGAACACTGCAAGGCTGAGCGCTTATGCCTCTGCTCCAGATTCTGCTGCGGCCTTTTCGTCTTCTTTTTTTTTTTTCTATTTTTATCTGCTTTTATATATATATATATATATATATTGAATGAAGAGAGAGAGAGTGAGGCCGTCCAGATATAGATGGCCCAACCCTACACGCCTACGGTGGAAATCAGTTTAAAATATTCCTCCCAATAAAAAAATTAATATACGTATATATATATATATATATATACATATATATATATGTATAATTTTTTTTTAAGAAATGGCTAATGACTATTATAAGAGTCTCCAACCACTTCTAATATTCCTAACAATTCGAGTAACGTCACCTTAAGGCTCACGTCGCCAGAGAGAATTTGAACCCCGACCTGAGAGGTCTTATACCGAGGATGTCAACCATCACGCCAAGGTACGCGACAATCTTATATATATATATATAAAGATGGACGATAACATGTATTTGTCCACCGGATATGTGCTAATTTGACCCAAATAGATTTGAGTTCGGGATAGAGGGGACTTACGCCGAAGTTGTTATTCAACAGGCCACAGTTGTGCATGCACGCACGAACACACACTCATATATATACATGTTCAATTCAAATTTGTTCTCTAGATTGTGCCCAAGGAATAGAGTATGAAATTAGAGAAAGAGAGAGGCTTGCCCTGTTGGGGACAAAGGAAGGTGTCGTTGGGCTCGGCGACCCATATTATTCCACATAAGATACAGTTAAAAGTGAGGGAGAAGGGGAGCAAGTTCCCTACATGAGGGTGAGAGAGAGCCTAGGGATCCTTTTTTTTTACATGCAAGAGTTCCTCAATTTATAGAGAGAGAAAGAAGGGGAAAGGGATATTGTACTTATGACCGTACTTTAAGGGGAGTTGAGGGGGTATTCCGCTATTTTCCTTGATTGGATCCATTTTCCTAGGACTTGGGAGGATTGTTGGTGTCGGGTGGTTGGCCCAAGTGGCTCGTTGTCTACCTTTTCTGCAGCCAGACGATGATGGTCGACCGACTAGAGCGGTCGGCCAAGTGAAATTTCATGTATGTTTTTGACCTTAGTGGCCAGCTGGGTTGGCCAGACATGGAGGTCAACTGGTTGAGTTGATCGACCCAAGTAGGCAGTTGGGATGGTCGAACATGGTGGTCGCCGAGGGGAACCTTCACGTAGTCGGCCCTTCATAGCTGGTCAACTGCTTTTTATGGTCGACCGAGAATGTATGATGAGCTAATGGTAGCAGGCCTTTGGTGGTCGGTTGACTAGTCCTTGTGGTCGGCTGAGACTGGCCAGCTTGGAGGGGGTGGTTGGTCAAGGTGACCAACCTGGTAAGTGTAAGGCTGTTGTCGCGACTCCGGTGACGACAATTTCAGTGGCGACGACTCCCTTGGCTTGACGAGGTGGTCCTATTTTTTAGGTTGTACATAAAGGTCATGAGTTTTTCAGTTCTTGGAGGCAAAACTGTTATAAGAATGGAAAACTCCTAAGTACAAAAAACATGATTTCATAAGCTTCTAGTTTTACTTAATTTCAAATAGCCCTTGTGTTAGTCGTTCAATAAGTGATTTTTTTTTAAAAATAATTATCAATCAGTGTCCAAACCTTTTGAGGGTATAATCAGTCAATCTTTCTTTTAGATTTTTAAATGAAAAAGTTTCTAACTCAAGTCCCACTCCTTTCGAAGCATCGCCTTCGGCAAGCCACAACTTTCGTCAGGACTCAAGATGATCTTGTCTTTGCCTTCATGGGGGTAACAGTTGATACTTGTGAATGAGGTGATTTACATTGTAGTCTTTGTTGATCTTGTTACTTTTTTGAAGGGAACCACCTCCATAGTTTTTTCAGAGCCGAGCTTCAAGATGGGTTTTAGAGGTTTCTTGAGCTTTAAGAAGGGAGCACAAAAGCATCATCCTGGAGCTTTTTTTTC